CAGAGACAATTTTAGAGTTACAAGCAAACATGATTAACCTCTCACCTATAAATGAGATAAAGTCTACTGTTTGTTTGTGTCAGCATGAACTGCACTCAGTTTCAACTTGTAACCTTTGTCACCAGACAGAAGGCCAGCACATACACATTTCAGATGTGTAACAAGCATTCAAAAGCATTTAGGATTATAGATTCAACTCAACAGTTTAGAGTGGTTATAACTGCACCTGTAATAAAGGCTAATTGGGTACCAATATGTTTAAACATCTGAATACAATATCAATACTGCAGATTGTATTATTAATGCAATGGTAATGATGATGATGATTAACAATAGCAGTAAAATAATTTCTAATTGCTCACACTCTCATATACAAACTGTTAGACACTGATAAAGGAACAGTGCAACATTTTCACAAATATACTTCAATCCATATTTGGATCAAACTGCTGATGATTTGGACTGATCCTGGATCTGTCAGTACACCACTGTATTGAATGAAATATGACTGATTCATACTGTCAACTTCATTATCTTTATATTCCTCTTCTGGAAAGGACACCTCCCTGCCTTTGCTGCCAGCTGTTTTTCTCCTCTTGGTGTCAGTGTGGTTACTGTACATGACCCCCGAACTCTGAGTGAGTGCAGCACTGTTTTTATGTGCTTTAATGCCTCTGTCACTCAAACAGTAGACCAAATATTTGTTTTCCAACATTTCATGCTGAAACTATTGAGGGACCATTCAAACACTCTCATCCTCATGTTAGTACACTGTCCTCTTAAAGTCTGAAAATTCATTAGTCATTAAGATTACTTCCAGTGTGAGTTATTGTCACATTACTAACAACTCAATGAAGACAATGTAATATACAATATATATTCTATTCCATCAAAATACAACAATAAATATTAAACTATGACTGCTGTTGGTTAGCATACAATGTTAAAAATAATCAAATAAACAACAGCAGCATGTCTGTCTGTGGTAATACAAACATAAATATGTGAAGAAGGTAGGTAACACAACAAGTAAAATCACAACAACAGTGACCTCAATGTGCTTTATATTGTACAGTAGAGCATACAATAATAGATAGAAAGAAAAACCTAACAATCATATAACCTCTTATGAGCAAGCACTTTGGCGACAGTGAGAAGGAAAAACTCCCTTTTAACAGGAAGAAACCTCTGACAGAACCAGGCTCTTTGTATTGCAAAGAAAAATGGGAAAGAATCTCAGTCTCTAGATGTGCAAAGCTGGTAGAGACATACCCTAAAAGACTGGCTGCTGTAATTGCAGCAAAAGGTGGTTCTACAAAGTATTGACTCAGGGGGCTGAATAATTACGCACACCCCACTTTTCAGTTATTTATTTGTAAAAAATGTTTGGAATCATGTATGATTTTCATTCCACTTCTCACGTGTACACCACTTTGTATTGGTCTTTCACGTTGAATTCCAATAAAATTGATTCATGTTTGTGGCTGTAATGTGACAAAATGTGGAAAAGTTCAAGGGGGCTGAATACTTTTGCAAGCCACTGTATGCTCTGTCTTTCTAGTCCCTGTCAGGACTCTTGCTGCAGCATTTTGGATTAATTGAAGGCTTTTCAGGGACTTTTTAAGACTTCCTGATAATAACGAATCACAGTAGTTCAGCCTGGAAGTAATAAATGCGTGAACTAGATTTTCAGCATCACTCTGAGTCAGGATATTTTTAATTTTAGAGATGTTGCACAAATGGAAGAAAGCAGTCTTACATATTTGTTTAATATGTGCTTTGAAGGACATGTCCTGATCAAGAATCACTCCAAGGTTCCTCACAGTGTTACTGGAGGCCAAGGTAATGGCATCCAGAGTAAGAATCTGGTTCGATACCATGAGATTTTCAGGGCCAAGTACAATAACCTCAGTTTGATCTGAATTGAGAAGTAGAAAGTTAGAGGCCATCCAGGTCTTTATGTCTCTAAGACATTCCTGCAGTTTAACTAATTGTTGTGTGTTATCTGGCTTCATGGACAGATAGCAGTGAAAATGTATGCTATGTCTTCTAATGATACTGCCTAAGGGAAGCATGTATAATGTAAACAGAATTGGTCCTAGCACTGAACCCTGTG